AATATGGGGCTGTGGCAGCTTAAATTTAGAAGGCAGTTATTTGTATGGGAAGCTGAAGAGCTGTAGAGATTGATGGAGTTGTTGGATACATCTACAGTGCTGAGGTTTGATTGTGTTGACTCTTCCTTTTGGTTAGCAAATAGTTCAGGCCTTTTTTTGTCTCTTCGGTGAGAAGATGGTGGGATGCTCAAATAGGGACTGGTCAGGTTGTGCCTAAAGAGGTATGGGTCGGTTTAGCTCCGCCAAAAATGCAGTTCCTTTGTTGGTTGGCTTGGAGAGGCAGAATAAAGACTGCAACCTTCCTTCAGAGGATTGGGGTGCTACCTGTTTCAGCAAATAATATGTGTGTGTTTTGCCAAGCTGAGGTGGAATCCTTGAATCATGTGCTTATGTTTTGTCCACTGGTGTGGAAATGTTGGTCTCAAATGATAAGCTGGAGTGGTCAGGTTTGGGCAATCCCTGGATCAGTTCAGGACTTGTTACAGTGGTGGTCTGCTGGTAAGAGTAAGCGTTGGGTCTCTAGATTATGGGAGATAGTTCCAGCTGTTATGTTATGGTCAGTTTGGAGATTGCGAAATGAATGTATGTTCAAAGGTGTACAACCCATTTTTGATAATTTTTGTGATAAAGTGAAGGTACAGGTTGCTCTATGGGTAAAATGGAGTTCGGAGGTTGAATATTCAGTTGATCATATTGTTTGCAATTTCAATCAGATCAGTTTGTCTGTTCAGACCCTTTGCAATTCTGCTTCAGGTCCTCTACTGTAGGGTGCCTGATTCAGCTGCTTCAATGTGTGAATGGTCTGGTCTGGTCTGGTTTGATTCTGTTTCAGGTCCTCTGTTACGCTGATTGTTGTTGCTGCTTTGATTCTGCTTTGGTGGAAGTCTGTTGCTAGGTTGATCTTCTGTTTCTCTGCATCTGATATGGTCTGCTGATTTGTGGATGCTTCAATGGGATGAAGGTCAATATGTTAGGTGGTTATTTAGGCTGTATACTGATCTACAGTGTTGCTCCAATTTCTACTGCTAGTTTAGCTTGGTTCTAATCAGTTTTGGTTCTTGGAGTCTTCATTCAGGAAATGTGCTGTTGAGGGCAGAGGTGTAGTCATTTGGATGCAGGGGAGCTGTGCCAAGTGCTGTGTAGTCTGGGGTCTTGGTGACTTCTTTCAGTAAGGACTGCAACTGGTTTTTTGGGTGGTTTGCTGCTAGATAGCTCCTTTTTGGTCTATATCTAAGTTGGTCTGCTGCTAGTGGCTGATTTGCATCTGGTTGGTCTATTTTAGTAGCTAGGAGGTTGGAGCATGTCTATCTGCTGCTGATTTTGGAAATTAATTATGAAGTGTTGAAATTGATCTGCTGTTGTTTGTCTATCTGTTGCTGCTGTTGCCTATCTGTCATTTAGGTGTTGCTTATGCTTTGTTTTGTGTTGTTGGTTTCTCACCAACTTGGAGGTTGGAGCTTTTTCTAGCTCCAATCTCCTCTTTATTGATGTTTTGCCTTTCATATGTAATTTATATATGGTTCATCAATAAAGATTTCTTTTACCGATCAAAAAAAAAAAAAATGTATGATCTAAATTCATCTATGCACAGATTTTACAGCACACCATCTCAACCACACCTCAAAATTCTTGGCAAATTATTTATTTAATTTTTTGGAGCACTGTTTTTATTGAAAGAGCAAACGTGGGAATCTTTTCTATATGAACTCTAATAGGATTTGACTTTTAATTATTTTTCACCACAAGAAAAACAAAGAGCCAAACAGCAAAAGAAGAATGTTTCTGGAAGCCGTAAGATCTCATAATTGATCTGAAGATTTTAATTTATGCATGTTATTGAGTATCATTAATAAACTCTTTTTTTTTTAATTTTTTTATCAACAAAAAAAAGACTTTATTGATGGAAAGATTATGTACAAACATAAGATCATACACTAATAAAAGTGAGTGGATACCGTGACAAAATTAAACCATCTCAACTAGGTTAATATTACGAAACTTACCCAATCATATATCAGCATACCACCAGGTAGGTGGTGAGACACCAACCAACAAGAAGGAAAGCAAACAAAAGCAAAGGGGGGAAGCACAGTGAAACAATCATGGCCTCATAGTAACACCCAACAAGCACTGCCCAGTAAAGAATAACATTAGCACTCTGCCACCAATGCAAACTCTATTTTGCTTCATGTTTAAAATGAGGTCATTGATTAAAAAATGAACTAATTTAGGTGATGACTTCACCCAAATTGCAACTCTAGTCTTCTTGACCAACTCAATCACTTCATCAAGGCAAGGATTTGAGTCTTTAAATAAACGCTCATTTCTGATTAATGTGAGTAACATTAATAAACCTTAATGCTATGTGAATGGAAAAAATCACAAAAGAGTTTTATTGATGAAAAACATAACAAGTATGATAAGAATACATCAATAAAGAAGAGGGTGCAAAAAGCATCACAGTGAAACATTTGGATCCCAACTAGGTTGGCACCAAAACGCACACCCAATCGTCTGCTAGCACACACTCGAGGCTCCAAGATGGTGAGAAACCAACAAACAGAGCAGAACAAAACAAGACAAAAACAAGAAGACAACAGCCAAACACTAGCAGACCATCCCCAGCCACTGACATGCATTATTGAAGACTGCTGACTGTCTACATGCTAACAAACTCCACAGGACATCCATACAAACCCAGATTTCAACACAAAGCAGCTCGGAACAGTTAAGAACATCCTCTGATTTGGCGCCAATTGAAAGTTAAGTCATCAACGGAATAAGGAAGATCTTTAATAGATGCTTTCAGCCAAAGTACTGCTCTAGTTTTGATATTTTCACTCAATCCAGAGAGACTAGGTTGAGCCTCAGCAAAGACACAATCATTCCTAAGTTTCCAAAGCGACCAAAGAACGATAAGGGGGATGGCTCTCCAAATTAACCTATCAAAATTTTTGAGCTTGACAGTCATCCACCATTGGAGAAGATCATCCACTGATCCTTGAATGCACCAGGAGAACCCCCACTCATTAATTATAGATGACCAAATCAACCAAGAAAATGGGCAATGAAGCAAGATATGGACAGCAGATTCAGGTTCAGAACGACAAAAAGGGCAGATGAGAGAAGCAGAAGCATCTAGAATGCCAATTCTGTGCATAAACACTGCTGTCTTGATTTTGTTTTTCCAGGCCAGCCAAGTAAAGAATGAAACCTTAGGGGGGACAGCCCCGTTCCAAATATGTTTGCAAATGTTAGAATGAGGCCCTAGGATAGAGTTAGAGGCAGAGTAAAGAGAGGACACGGAAAATACACCAGGACTAGTAGATGCTGAAGCCCAGATAAGATGATCAGCCCTGTCAATTGACAGAGATGGAGCTGAAGATAGTAGACCAAGTAAGTTAGCTTCTTCTACCAATTCCCAACTGAAAAGCACTCTCCTAATAGGAAAATTCCAATTGTTTGGGCTAGATTTTCTTGCCATGAACTGTTGTAGAGAACCTTCTTTATCTGTAGAAAGATTAAAGAGAAGGGGAAAAGAAGACTTGAGACTAGAGCTGCCACACCATCTGTCATGCCAAAATTTAATCCTACTCCCATCCCCCACTTGGATTTGGCAGTTATCTATATAGAAATTGTAAACATTTGTGCTATGAATCCCAATAGATAATATGTCCTTCCAAACTCTAGAATGTTTGTAGGAGGACTTAAAAGGTGGATGCCAACTAGCCTCATCAATATTGTATTTGCTACAGATAGCTCTCCTCCAAAGAAAGTTTACTTGAGTTCTGAATTTCCACCACCATTTGAGCAATAGACAAGCATTCATACCTTAATGCTATGTGAATGGAAAAAATCACAAAAGAAAATTATAAGTGATTCAAATTTATTTCCGATTGATTTTTCTGTATACACCATAATCTTTTGCAGGTTGCGATAATAACATGTTTAATCATTTATTAGAAAAAAAATCTTTACAATGTTTGAAAGTATGAGGGACTGAAAATTAGATCAATAATTGATTAATATTTTAGTTAGTAAGAGAGAGAAATGAATTTTTTTTGGAGCAATAAATGTTAGTTGTTAATTATTAGATTAGCACTTATAAGAGAAAATCTCTTCACCGTTGACAAAGCACTAAAGTACTTGCGCTCCCTTAATTTAATCTCCTAAGAGGAATTAAACCCATGACTTCCTTAAGACTAAGTCTTAAAAAAAATATAATGACCAATTAAGTTAGACCTAGTTGGTTAGAGAGAGAAATGAAATGACAGGCAGTCAAAGCAGAAAACTCCAAACTCTATAATGCAGGGGGCTTATCCTCCAGTTTGCACCCTCCGACTTGTTTAGCATATCCCAGATTTCCAATCCACTCTGCTCACATGGCTGTCTCTATAATTTTTCCAACAATATTTCCAAAATAAATAAATAAATAAAACAGATATTCTCGTAAATCAATTTTATTATGAGTATATCCATATTATATCAAGTTTAAATTTATACCATATATTTAATTTTTAATTATTTAATGAGTAATTTTTTTTTTTAATTGCATAGCAATTTTATTATCATTTTTTTTACATTCACTTCATAAAAAAAGGCTGCTTAATATCACCTATTTGCTTCATTAACTGTTTTACAATTATCTCAAAATGAAGGAACCAATCAAAAGTATCCACATAGCAGATAATACAAAATAGTGACAAAAAAATAGGGACATATAAATTTCTTTAAATAAAAAAGAGGTTATTAACAGTATTAGAGTGTCACAATAAATTGTTTACGTAGTGTTCTTGACAAATAAAAAATCGCAAAGCATACTAGTTCGGCAATCTTTTATTTCTCAACTGCTACTTAATAAAAATGAGTACACATTACGTCATTGATTAGAAGTATCACGTTAACAATGCTAGGTAATATTTAGAAATTTTTTAATATTACCCATTTTAAAAAAAAACAAAAAAGGATATGTCATTATTTCCATCTATAAAAGCCTAACGCACTTCACCATTTCCATCACACCCAACATTCTCTCGAAAGCGCACACAGCCTAATTTCCCAAACCATTCAAGACTTTTTGGTGTCATTGAAATGGCTTCAAAGGCACTAGCTTCAACTACTCTCCTCCTCACCCTCAACCTCCTCTTCTTCACTCTAGTCAGTTCCAATTATGTCCCATGCCCACCACCACCATCAAAAACACCCAGCCACCACCACTACCCATCTCCTCCTCCAAACCACTACCCATCTCCTCCACCAGCCAAGGCCACTTGCCCTACAGACACCCTTAAGTTGGGTGTGTGTGCCAACTTGCTCAATGATTTGGTGCACCTAGTCGTCGGAACCCCGGCGAAGACTCCTTGCTGCTCCCTCATTGGGGGACTTGCTGATCTTGAAGCTGCTATTTGCCTTTGCACTGCCATTAAAGCTAATGCCTTGGGGATTAATCTTGATGTTCCTGTTTCTTTGGGCTTGTTGCTGAATTACTGTGGAAAGAAAGTCCCCACTGGCTTCCAATGTGCTTAGAGCTGCTTTTGTTTATTTCTCTCACAATGTATTGTATTTACAATAACTAATTATGGGTATTGGAATGAATAATTTCTTCAAAGGAAAAAATGTAAGCAATGTGTAATGGGTTCTATTGGAAGGGTTGATCCCATCACTATAAGAAAAATTATTGTCTTGCAATTTCCATTTCTCATTCATATGCACAAGATGTGGGATTGACTTGTGAAATAACTATATATATATATAAGAAATTTCATATAGCGAATAATATAGCTTACTTACATTGATTCAACAAAATAAAAAGTCTATCACTATAAGCTTATTCATAATTGTGAAAATATAATTTTCAAACCTTTTTATGAGTATTTTACATGAAAATTTTATAAACTTAGCATTTACAGTGAAAATAAGAGTTAGAAGATTACTCATTAAAAAATTCCATACTTGTTGGTGCACCACATGAGCTCGTTTATTTCTAATAATTGTGCATGAGATGGTAAATAAAATTAATATACTTTCAATCACATAATATGTAAGAATTTTAAATTATAAGAATTCTAAAATTAATATTCTCCTGTCTTATCATGAATCTTGAAAATTTCAAGATCAGAGCAAGAGAACAAAACTGACCATTTTTTTTTATTAAGGACAAAAGATGCCTTCCATTATGTGGGGAGACAAATGATCCCATCCAATGTTTAGATAGAGAGATAGAAATATGAGAAACACCTGCGATATGTAATTTATCATTTTTAAAAAATATAATTTATATTTGACAAGTGTTAAATTTTAATTTATCAAACATTTTATCATGTGGGGTCAAATCTCAATATCACATCACTAATAATTATTTAAAAGTGATAAATTAAAAAAAAATATTGCATTATTGATAGAAAATTTAGGAAAAACACACATAGATCAATCAATCTTCGACAAGCAGTGCTCAAGACCTGTAGGATATTGAGTCAATCTCCTTATTTGGTTTCAATTTTCAGGATTTATTTTTCAGAAAATTAAAATTTTTTATTTTTCGTATTTTTTTATTTTTACTTATATTTTTTAATATTCTAAGCAAGTTTTTTAATTTTTAAATATACCTAACATAAATACACTTTAAAAATATAATATTTGTGAAAAAAATATTTAGAAAATTCACTGAATACCAAAAAAAAAATTTTAAAAAATGAGAATCCAATACATTTTTTTGTATTATTGTGTATTTATTGATTTTTTAAAATATTTTTTTACAAATATTTTATTTTTTCGATATATCTAAGTAAGGTGCATTTAAAAAAGTAAAAAACTGCTTAGAATTTTAAAAATATTCACTAAAAATAAAAAAATAAAAAAACAAAAACTCTTCGTACTTTTTATCTCAAAAACTACTCTACAAACACAAACCAAACACACCCTCAATTTTTAGAAAATTGAAACGAAATACACGGAATATTTTTTCAAAAAGATAAGATAGTGTTTGGTTCATTGGAGTGAAACGGAATGGAATGCTCATTTATTAAAATATTTACTTCAATGTTTGATTGATTAAAAAATAATGACAAAATATATTGCAAATAAAGTAATCATTCATCCTTTTAACACAATGGTCATCTATATACGAGAGTCCAAAAAATAATCACTCCCTTCTATTTCAATTTATTCTAATGAACCAAATACATAAGTTATCATTTACAACATTAGCTTTGTTTTAATCAACATTTTTCTATGATTTCTTAAAAAATGTGGCTCATGGCATTGTTCTGTGGACCATTACTAAGTCCACGTTTGGCAAAAAAACTGTTTTAGTTAAATTTTTGGAGTTGAAATCTTTTTAACTTGGGATTAAAAAATTCATTTGATAAATTTATTTTGACTTTTGTAAAATAAAAAGTAAAAATAATTATAATTTAAATATATCATTTTATTTTAATGACTTATTTAGTCTATTTTATTTTTTATATCTTTTTTACTCTCAACTGAAATAGCCAACAAAGCCTAAAAATATCAAACACAAATGACATGCAAATTTTGGTCTATGACAAATAATTGATACTATCAAAATTTAAAAATTTTCAATATTAACTGATATAAGAATCGATACTGTTAAATATATAACTGTACATCATTCAAAATAATATTTTTACGAATTAAACGAAACCGGCCCGCGGGGCGGCTGCTGCTGCCGCCGGTTCATCTGTACACTAAAATTACCATAATTCTCATTCTCATGGCTGGGACTATCCGGAGTTCCAACCCCATCCATATGCCCCATTCCAACATACTGTTGCACCACCAACACCGACACTGCCGCCGCAAAATCCGACGACGCCAACAAATCCCCGATCGCTCCCAGCTCCGGGCACTCACTCCAGTCCGTCAACCCCGCCGTGAGCGGCGATATCATGCCCTGACCTCTACCGACTATGAAGAGGTCATTTATTGTGTCCACCGATCTTATCGCCGCCACGGTCTCTTCGCCGTTGTTTACGACACGTTCGGCGTAGATTATAGATTCATCGTTGGCTGTTCGGGCTCGGAACTCGTTTACGTAGTCTTCGTCGAGTTGTTTTTCTCGGTCGTTGTCTGTGACAACTGTGAGGATTCGAGGGTCGTTGGGTTCGCGGTTGGGTTCAATGGTTGATTCGATTGCGTCGTCGCCGGGGATGAAGCGCATTACCGTTAGGTTGATTGCGGGGTGGTCGGACATCCTCCATGCGTACGATAGTGCTTCTCTGTCGTCTGGTCCGCCGAAGAAGAGAACTACGATGTGGTGTGCTACCTACAAATTTAGAATAATTTAAAAAAATATACTTCTATGCACCCGCCTTATCTATTTTAAAGGCAATTTATGCATAGAATATATATCAATTAAAATCTGATTAAGTTTTAAATAATTAACTCTGAATTTGTAATATTATTGAAGTTCAAAAGTGTTATATTACCAAATAAATGTCAACATTTCATTTATTTATTTAATTTTAATAGTAAATTACACTTGTAGTATCTCTGGTTTCCCTGTTATGACAATTTGGTAATTTTAATTGTAATTGTTTGAATTTTACCTTTAATTTTTTTAAAACTGTAGAAATTAGATTAAAATAAAGAGATAAAATATAGCATTCATTTTTTTTTTTTTTTGAAATAATTGAAAGGTTGATGTCCAATTTAAAATGATCAATTCCTTTACAAACAAAGTTTTAAAAATAAATTCAGATTATTTGAGTGCGACCAGCTGTGAGCCCCAAGAATAACCCCTTCTCTTCACATACTTAGAAACTAAATTTTCTATTTTTGTTTTAATTTATGTTTACATGATTTTTTTTGTTGAAAAAAATACATACAAAAATATATATATATATATATATATCAGAATTTAACCATTGTAATAAAAAAATTTCTAAATTTTTAATTTATCAATTTAAACTCTACTATTTTGATTTGATTTCAATCTAAATTATTTTTTTATTTCCGTTAAGCATAACCGACGGAGAAAAAAATATTTTAATTATTACAGTCAATGAAAAAAAAAAGAAATTTTAGATATTTTAGGTAAACCTATATTGAAAGTGTTTTAAAAAGTGATAAATTAAGTATTTTAAATATTTTTCATATCTTTCTACGTCATCATTCTCAGTTTTAGAAATGAAAATAATAACAATAAAAATAATAATAATAATAATAATAATAAAAAAGATTATTAAAATTTTGATAGTCCGAAACAGTACCTGGTTAGCAGACAAGCGTGTAGTCCCGCTCAAGCCTCTATCCACAAGAATGCCAATAGAACACGGCGCGTTCGCCAAAACATTCTGATTAATAGCCCGAAAAGCCGGGTTGGTCGCCTCCATCTCCCCATCCACAGTCTGTTGCTTATGAAACGGAATTATAACAAACGCCACTCTCTTATCCTCCGCCACTCCACATATACGCCGTCAACGGCTGCACCGAAACACACCCAACATGTTGTTCGAAATTCTCGAACGCATTGATTATGTGATCGGATTGTGCTTGTGTCCTGTTCAGGGCCGGGCGGCCCGATTTACGGGTGTTGTGGACGATGAGCATGGCCGAGGCCCGCCCCGTGAGCTCCACGAGGTGGAGGACGTAGATGCATAGTGGGGATTTTTTTGTGGGGTGAGAGGCTTCCATGAGGTTGATGATTGTTGGGACGTTGCGAGGGGTGTGAATGCAGACTAGGACTCGGAGTTCGGCGTCGGGTTTCGAGCGTTGGATTGATCGGCGTTTGTAGGGGACGAAGCGTCTTGCTGGTTTGTAGATTGAGGTTACGATTGGGGTTATGATTGCCGTCATTACTACGGCTACGATTACTAGGATTGCGAATGACTTGTCGTCCAATACCTGCTCCGCATTTGTGTTTTCACAATGTTAAAAACTTTCCAGTAGAATTTTCGGCATGAAAAAAGAGACAAATTTTGTTTTTGTTTTTGTGTTTTTGGTGTGTGATGCTAGTTAGGCTTAAAAATTAAATTTATTTTTCAAAATTAATAATGTGGTAATTTATTTTTACGGTGATGTTATACGTATTAATTGATATATTAATTAGTGTACAACATATGTTATAACATTGTCATTTTAAAATTATAACTTTATTTATTATACAAATTACAAAGATCTAAACATTTTAAAATTATGCTACATCTTTCGTTAGAACCCTAATTGGCACCCCAATTGATGTATATAGTATTATTCTTATTTTTATGTGTGTGTATATATATATATGTTTTTAATTTTCTTTAAGATTGCCATAGAAATTAAAGTAAAAATTTGACTCCAACGTTTTTTTTGTTTTATAATTATTTTAAATTTAGTGATTGTTTGAAAAACTTCCAAATAAGTCATATTTTTTAGAGCTGTGTTGTCTCTACTTATCTTTTTTTTGTAAGTTATGTCAATGCTTTTTACCTTTTCAATGTTGTATAAAGGAATCTGAAAAGTAAATTAAAAAAATAAAAATAAAAATAAAAATTCCACTATTTTTGTATTATTTGTCTTTTTTAGAATTTTTAAAAGAACTTTTAATTTTTCTGTTCATAATCTAGAAACCTAAAAAAGTTAGCTGTTGGCTTTTTATTTTTTTATGGGAAAATTAAAACTCAGTGTATTTTTAATTTTTTTTAAATGAATGGTAAAATTTATAAACATTAATAATTATTTTTACTGATTTGTAAATATTTTATAAAATCCCACTAATATGTAAATTTTTCCTTTTTTTTATTTGTTCATTTATATTTACTAGATATGAGATTAATAAGTAATTAGATTACTACACAAGTCTCTCCATAGTTTAAACTTTATTATTTATTTATTTATGTTTGAAATAAAAAATCTTAACTAAGTTTTTAATTAATTTATAATACTTATATGCTTATTTTTTATTTTTATAATTTTTTTCGTAATTCAATAAGTTTAAATTAAATATTTTAAGAAATTAATAAATTTGATGAAATAAATAAATTTTAATTTATATATTTATTTAATAAATTCAATCGATAATTTAAATATTAAATAAATATTTTGATAGTAAAACAGGAGTAGAAAGTAAAATTGATCCTAATTAAAAGGGTAAGTGGAGAGGGTGGTACCTTTTGATCCCTACCAACATTAAGCACAATCATCTCAACAAGCCCTTTCGTATTCATCAACAACCCAAGAGTAAGCCCCTCATAAAAATGCATCTGATAATACAGAGCAACTAGCAAAGTCCCTGCAATTTTCCCAACACAAGCAAGAATAATCACAAGAATCAAGTACCCCCATGTCAAAGCTCCGGTGATCGCCAAAATGTTAGTCTTCAAACCACTCATCGCGAAGAACAGAGGAAGCAAAAGCCCCGAAACAAAGTCCTCAAGCTTCTCAATGAGTGTCACACCAAGCGGACCATTCGGAATTATCAATCCAAACACAAATGCTCCAAAAACAGAGTGTGTTCCAATGGCATCTGTGATGAACCCAGAAATCATAACTCCTGTGAGAATCAAACATATGTAGAATTCGCTGATCGGTTCGCCTTCTGGTGTTCTCTGTATTACCTGTGGGAAATAAAATAACTCTGTAACACGCAATTTGGAAGAGAATTTGGAGAAAGAAGTTCTTTTTCATTCATATTTGAGTATAATTTTGAGTAAAAATTTAATAAATGGTAACGTTGTAAATTTAGAAACTATTACATCAGCCTAAATTATCTTAGAAATTCGTGTAAAAAAATTAGCCTACCTTGATTTGGATAAAAAATTGAGTAAAAATTAATTTTTGTATAAGTAAAGGACACTCAAGAGACTTTGAATTTTTTAGTCAAATTTAAATTTTAGGGGAAATTTTAAAAAAAATATGTGAGAATTTGACTCTTATAAAATAAATCTTGATTTTAAATTCTATTAATTTAAACTCAAATTTTATTTGTTTATTTTTAATCTAAAGATGTGCCTATTTTCGTTAGATAAAATTGATGAAAAAAATGACATTTTAAGTATTAAACTCAATGAAAAATAATGTTTCAAATGTTTTACGTACATGACTAAAATACATTTATTTTTTTGAGATTTTTAGTTTAAGGTCTCTAATATTAGAATTTTATAAGATAAAAAACATGCAACAGTTTTATAGTAGTTGAGATCCCTCAACATTTTCACAGAAGAAAAATTTTCAACTCTTTACAGGGAAATTTATTTTTCCATAGAGAAATTTTAGCTCTGCACAGAAAAATTTGACAAGACGAAATTTCTCTAATAATATTATTGAGGAACCTTAACTTATAAGAAAAAATATATTGGAGCTCTCCTAATATATCCAAAATAGATAGGAATGTTTCACTAATTTTTTTTTTTTTTATCGGTTTTACTTAACAAAAGTATGCAAATAGTTTAGATTAAAAAATTAAGATTTAAATTGATAAAGATAAAAACTCAGCATTTATTTTATTACGGTTTTTTTTTTTGGTAATTTTTCTTAAATTTCATAGAAAAAATTAGAAATCAGTAATAATTTCACAAAATATTTACAAATTCATGAAAAAATTTATAATTTTAATTTTTAAAGTTGATAAAATTTACCACTAATTTAAAATTATTTTTAAAAACATACACTTGATTTGCAATTTTTCTAATTTTATATTATATAGAGTAAAGGGTAAGTATTGAAAATGTCGTAATACCTGTTACAAAACTCTAATGTCACATTATTCCTAACTTGTAAAATTAAAACCCTATTAATCACTATTACACGCATGAAAAACATAAATCTCAAAATTATACAAATCAAAAATTGTTTTTTCAACACTTACCCATATGATCAATGGCCGAATGAAGAAGATACATAGCATCACAAAAGCTATGCTCGAGAGGATGACCCATAGAGAAGCCAACGATGAAGTGTCGTTTTCAGATAAAGCAATGGCGAAAGCTAAGAGAATCCAAGCGCAAACATCGTTGATGAGAGCCGAGGACATGGCGATTCGGCCGATCTCCGTGTTGAGGAGTTTGAGCTCAGCGAGTATTCGAGCAAGTACCGGGAAAGCGGTGACCGAGAGAGCGACGCCGAGGAAGAGAATGAATGTGCCTTGTTTGGTTTCTTGGGATTTTTGGTGGAGGATGAACGAGAAAGAAATGCCGACTATGAAAGGGAGGATCATACCGGCGATGGCGATCGCTAGGGCTTTTTTACGGGTACGCCGGAGAACGGCGAGGTCCATTTCGACTCCCACGAGGAAGAGGAAGTAGAGTAGACCTACGTTTGCCATTGTTTCGAGTACCATGACACTTCTTAGTGGAAATATTGTATTTGCGAATTCCTCATGTTGGCCCAGTACTGATGGACCTAGTATCACTCCACCCTGGAAACATTGAGCAAACCCACAAATTATTTGAAAATTTTGGTCCCCTTTGGAAAATTGACTATTTTAATAGATTAAAATATTTATATTTGAGAAGATTGTTACATTTTTTTATAATTAAATTTGATATTTGTAAGAGAAAAAGTAAAATGATTATGAATTTGATATGACAATTTGTCTTTTTGACTATTTTAATATATTTTATATTTTTGTGAATTTTTTTTTTTTTTTAAAAAAGCAGCTTTGAAGGGGTAAAGTGAGAAAATAATTGTGAAGCTTAGATATACCATGTTTGTTTCTAGTTTTTTGAAAATACTTTTGAGAAAATTTTATTTTCTTATTTTTCAATTTTTTTTTTTGTTTTTACTGAGTTTTTTTAATATTTTAAGCAATTTTTTTTTTAATTTTTAGACATACCTAACATAAATATACTTAAAAAGTATAATTTTCGTGAAATTTTTTTAAAAAAAATTTACTAAATACTAAAAATACAAAAAAAAAAAAAAGCAAAAATTCAATATATTTTTTTTTTGTTTCGTATTTTTTTGTATTTATTAATTTTTTTCACAAATATTTTACTTTTTAGATACATTTAAGTAAGGTGTATCTAAATTAGTAAAAAAATGCTTAAAATTTTAAAAATATTCACTAAAAACACAAAAAAAATAATAAATAAAAAAACTAAATTTTCAGAAAACTAAATTCAGAACACTGAAACATACTGGTACCCTAAAAGAAACCAATTCAGAATATAAAAAGTCTCACTTTAATGCCAATTTTTTTTTTTTAAAGTTAAAATTAATTTTAATTATTTTTCATTCTGTCCTAGTTTATTCATGTATTAAGATTCACACCAATATATGAATATATTTTCTCTGATTTTGTACTCTGACTAACACTTTAGGATTGGTTAACCCTATCTGTTTCCCAAAACATAAATGGATTTTCATGTAAATTTAATTTCATTTGTTTTTCAACTAGGAGACTTAATTCGTTAATTTAATAATAATGTTTAGGTTTTCTCATTTTATGTGCATTTCACATGTATTCTGTCAGTGTCTAGGGTTTTCATTATATGTGCATTTCATATGTATTATGTTAATTAATCCGTATTAAGAGTTCAAATGATTTTGAATGATAATTTGGCAATTTCGAATGCAAAAGAAAAAAAAGAGAGGTTATGATGGATTTTTCATGTCAATTTAAATTCTTTTTTTTTTTCAATTGGAAACTTAATTCATTATTTTAATATTGTCTAGGTTTTTCATGATATATGCATTAATTTCACTTAATTTCATATGTATTTTGGTAATTAATCCATATTAAGAGTTTATATGAATTTGAATGATAATTATATGTATCAAATACCAAAAAAAAAAAAAAAAACTTACAAGAATTTCAGAGATGACACGAGGTTGGCGAAGAGGTTTCAAGATGAAAACAAGAATACGAGTGGTAACAACAACCAACGTCAATTGCAAGATGAAGAGTGGAAGTGAATAATTTAAAGGATTGTCGCCTTGCCATATCCCATTTGTTGTGATCATCGTCGGTGCATAACATACTATTGTTGCGTCTGTTTTGTTACCTACCGTTGCCCTGTGTGCCATTTTTCTAGCCTATGTTTTACTCTGCCAATTCTTCTTATTATGACACCCTAGACCTTCTTTGCCGCCACCACCACCGCCAATAACACCTACCACCAAGGAAGAATAGAAATCGAGCAATTTTTCTTTTTCTTGCCAAAAAAAAAAAAAAAATTGGAAAAGTAGAGAGGATGTAAATTTTGCTAGATAAGATGAGAAGGATAGATATTTGGATGAAGATAGATTTTTATTTTTATTTTTTTTTAAATTTCTTTTAGTTAGTATTGTTCAATTTCTTGGCTCTCATTTCAAATTTTGGAGGAATGGTTGAAGAGGGAGGAAAAAGAGAAATTAGGTTAGTTTAGGTGGTTTCCCGCCCCATATGGGCGTTCTCTCTTCTGTGGTCTATATATAGTCCGTTTGGTGAACTGGGTGACAAAAGAAATGGTATGAATATAAATTCTTAGCTAGGTAAGAAAAGAAAATTGTAATATAATTGTCATTTCTTATCATTTTATTTGAATGAACAGTCAGTTGAAAAAAAGAACATGCGTTATTTTATTTTTAATGTTTCGTAGTTAGACAGGCAATTTAAGTATTTTTATTTTTATGAAATAGTGGTTGTCTCTCAGCAATTCTCAACAATTTGTCACATTCTCAATCATCCAAATAAGTAATGAAAGTTCTTTTTCTCTCGAATTTGTTTTCTTTTTTCACCAATCTCAAAAAAAGAAAATGCTAGACATATAATTTTTATACTAAAAAATTATCCTGAATGATGCGTTTTTGAAGTTTTTGTTATTTTAGACCATAGTAACGAACTTTTTATTCTATAGTGAATAGATGTAAATAAGCTACATAATGTTGTATAAGGAAAAAAAAATTGATAATTTGGAAATTGCTCCTAAAAATTATTCATAAACCCAGAAATTAAAGAGTTCTCATCTGTGGGCTTAAGAATGCCTATCATTCATTTGTTAAGGAAATAAGGAATAGAAAATAGAAAAGTTTTTTCTGCCATTTATGGTTCAATTAACAGATGGACATACTAATGCAAGTGTTAAAAATAATAGCCCGTACACTCTTAAAATTATATTTATTGTCAATTTCTTTTTTTTTTTTAAAAATGGGATTTGATTAAATAATTACAATTATTCAATCAACATGATTGTTTGCATGAGTGTTATTTTCAAATGACTTTATAAAATCAATGGTATGAATTATCTAGATGGACCAGCGATAAGCCACGATAGTCTGACAGCATAGTTGTTCAGTGAACTCAATTAGAGAAAAACTAGGATAGTGGTGGGATTGTTTGCATGAGTGTTATTTTCAAATGACTTTATAAAATCAAGGAAAATGATTGGTGGTCCTAAAAAATTTGTCCCTAATGCCCCTAATTTCCAATTTTAGAAACTGTTTTCTTTTTTTCTTTTTTTTTTCCTTTTTTTTTTTTTTTTTTTTAACTAGGATAGTGGTGGGATTGTTTGCATGAGTGTTATTTTCAAATGACTTTATAAAATCAATGGTATGAATTATCTAGATGGACCAGCGATAAGCCACGATAGTCTGACAGCATAGTTGTTCAGTGAACTCAATTAGAGAAAAACAAGGATAGTGGTGGGTAGAGTTTTAAAATTATGATTTGAGAATAGACTTGTATTTTGAGTTTGTGAGTTTTGGAATTATGATTTGAGTGTAGAAAATTTGTTTGATGAATGAGTTTTGAAAAAAGTTTTGAATTGAGTAGATAATTTTTGATGTGATATATGATATTTGATATTAAAATTTTATTCAGAGTTCATAAAAAAAATTAAAAATTTAGAATTTTTTTTATTTAAAATATAAAAAATAACATGTGCCAATTGTAAAAAAAAAAAAAATAGTACTACTTCGGTCAACCGGCTGGACGTCCAGGAGGACGACCGGTTAGTCCAAATTTTCCTGCCTTGAAAAGAGTTTTCAAAAGTGAGTGTGAAATTAATTTTTAAAAATACTAAACAAACATCTATACTTAAAAGTGAGTGTAAAATTATGTTTTGAAAGCTCTACCAAACAGAGCCTAACTTTTTATTTATTTAATTTTTTTATTATGTGAGAAACTTCTCTAGTTGCCAATTGGAGAAGTTGTTGCTCCTCGTGGGCCCACTACATGGCCGACTTGGTAATTTAAATCATAATTTAAATCATTTATAGTGTACGACCAATTAATAAGGATCATCACTACAAAAAATCAGATTGACCAAAAAACTATAGACATATCATTAAATTATATTTACCTTCAAAATAATAAATGATTTATTTTCAAAATTACAATTACTATTTCTTTTTGGATAAATTACAAATACACCCCCAGAAGTTTGCTTAAAGTACAGATTGTCTCCTGTGGTTTGAAAAATTACAAATATCTCATTGTTAGAATTTTTTAATTAACAGAATTAACTAAAAAAAATAAAATTCATAATTGTTCTCCTATACAATAATAAAATTACCTAAATTATTAATTGAAATATATTTTTAATATCAGTAAAAATTATTAATTGACTTGAAGATTTATTAATAAAATGATTAATTTATAAATAGAATGATCATAAAAGGAAGAGAGACCATGAGAGATAGTGATGAAGGTTCAGATGGTGGATGGATCCCAGTATTTCGCAGGAAAGCATGGACAACCAGGAACTCCCAAGATATTCACATTGTTGTTGTGGATAACTTACCTGAATCACTGGATCCTAAGGGGCTGTATATATTGTTTTCCAAGTTCGTAGTAGTGGTGGATGTTTACATCCCTAACAAGAGGAAGAAGGTAACAAGCTCACGGTTTGGCTTTGTACGCTATAATTGTTCAGTTGCAGCAGGAGTGGCTATTCAAAAGGCACATGACACTTCGTGTGACAATCGTAAGATAAAGGTAAAGATGGCAGAGTTCAACAAGGCCCAAAGCAAAAATGGGAAGCAGCAGGTGCTATAGAAAAGTAAAGCTACTGCAACCCATTGACATCGTGCTAGCAATAGTATGCATAACAATGTGCAAAGCTATGCTGATGTGGTGGCTAGAGTAGGAGCTGGGAAAGGTAGTGGACTGATCATTAAAGTAGAGGAATATGGAAATGGTTGGCTACTTGGGAGCCTAGTTTCCAAACTCAAGCCTCTCTGTCATGTATCTAAGTTCAAACAAGAACTGTTAAGTAGGTATGGATCTGATATTCAGCTAAGAGTGATTGGATGCAAGTTTGTGATCCTTCTTTCAAATCAGAAAAGTAAATGAAGAGTGCATCAAAAGAGTTGGAGCACTGGGCCCATGAATGGTGAGAGTTCATCACACAATGGACCAAGGACACAATCATTACGCATGAAAGGATGGTATGGCTTAGTTGTTATGGAGTACCATTCAATCTTTGGAACTCTATCAATTTCAAAAATATAGGCATGCTATGGGGTGATGTTATTGAGATTGATAAAGATACACTTGAAATGTCCTCTTTATGCTGTGGCAAAGTCAGAATAGTAACTAAATTACTGGATTACATTAACCAAGTGATAACCCTGGATTGCAAAGGTAAACTAGTTGTAATAGAAAATTCAAGAAAATATGTTAGTTATTTGCGGGATGAGATCTCTGTTAATACAAATAGAGGGGATGAGCACTGTGTTGACAATGGTGAGATTCTCAGGAAAGAAGATGATGATGTCGCAATTAACGATGAGGTGGTGACAGATAGGATTTTGGGAGGTAACATGTGTTTAGCAGATGCATTAAAGGAGAAGGAGATGATAGGTAATGATAGTCTTATAGCCATCTCTGTAATAAAAGAGACGGCTAACAACTTAGGAAAAGCAAGCAATGGAGGCGCATGCATGCAGAAGGAGACAACCTTGTCAAAGAGCAACGGTCTCATCGCAGACAATGGAAGTCCAAGAGTTAATGGACTAATTTGTACCTCTGGTTTTTTGAAAAGCTTTAGTGGACTAGATTTAATTCGGCCCAACGTAAATTTGGAAGTGTTTTTAGGTCCAGTCCAGACTGATAAAACATATCACACAAGGCCTCATTATGTTCTTGGGCCCAATGATGTGGGCCTATCAAGATATCATGACCCAATCATCTCTGGGCTGAAAAATACACCAATTTATGATCCCTTATTACAACAAGGAGATGTTAATCCCAAACGCTCAAGGTTAAAGGCGGGGGTTGACTAGTAAAGCATTAGAGGATAGAAGATCCATCTCCCAACAAAGAAAAATTCTTAGAAAGCTAAAAGGAAAACACAAGTCAAGGTAATTGGAGGTACAAGATTCAACAAGGGCGTTTTACTTAGAGCTGCAACTCAGGCCTTGTCTGACTTAATCTCATTGAGTAGCAATTCGAGTAGAGGAAGATATCTTTTAAATGAGACATAAGCCACCCTACAAATTGGGAAGGTTCTTGGTGTAAATTGTGAAGGGAAGGAGATCGAAGTAATTGAGAAGATAATGGAGCTTGAAAACTAGGATTTGGAGAGAAGGAAGCAGCTGGATGCTGCTAAACAGTCCTGATTTGTAGGACTAGCTGATTGGGAGCTCTATTTTGTTCATTAATGAAGATGTTATCATGGAACATCAGAAGGTTGAAAAAACCTGAGAAAATGAGAAAATTAAAGAAGCTAATCAGACTAAGGAGAATAGAAATTGTTTTAATCCAAGAGACAAAAAAAGTTGAGATATCAGAACACTACAACAAAATACAGAATTGGCGACCAAAAAATGAAATTTCGTCGCTGAAAGTGCATGAAATGGCGACTAAATTGGAATTTGTCGCCGAAAAGGAGGTTTTTAGCGACTAAAATGGTTTAGTCGCCGAACAGCATGTTTTTAGCGACTAAAAGGAAGTTTTGTCGCCTAATATAGGGTTTTCAGCGACTGAAGTTTGTTTAGTAGCCAAAAGTCACGGTTTTTAGCGACTAAAATAATTTAGTAGCGAAAAGGTAGGGTTTTGGCGACTAAAAACAGGTTTAGTCGCTGATTATAGCAGTTTTGCCGACTAAAAGCAATTTAGTCGCTGAAAGTGGAGGTTTTGCCGACGAAAATCCATTTTAGTCGCCGAAAGTAGTGGTTTTGGCGACGAAATTTCTGTTTAGTCGCCAAAAGTGCTGATTTTT